CCTTCCCCGCAGGTGCAGTTCTACGAGGGCGAGCTGGGGGCGGAGCGGTGCGTGCGCCGGGAGGTTGCCGGCAGGGTCTACTTCTACGAGGGCGAGAAGGGCGCGGAGGCGGTGGTGCGCGTGGTGCAGGCGGGAGACGGCGAGAGACGGCGAAAGACGGGGAGATAGGGGGAGATAGGGGGAGATATGGGTGGTGCGCCTAAGGCGGCCGCCGGAAATGGGAGCCCCCCCCCCCCCCCACACACACACACACCCACCCACCGTCACCACCACCACGTTTGTGTGTGGCGAGGCTTCCCCGACCCGCCCTCAGGCGACCACCGAGACGCGGCTCAAGGCCATGCGCGTCACCGAGCTGAGGGAGGAGTGCGGCCGCCTCGGCTTGGTCACCACGGGCGTCAAGGCAGACCTGGTGGCGCGCCTCCGCGCGTACCGGTCGGCACCGGTGCCCCAATGCATCCCCCGATGAGCGCCACTTACCTGTCCACAGCGCGCCACGTCTCGGCTCGGCTGAGTTAGCACAAGTCCGCTGTCCGCTCGGACCGCCACGCCGGCGGCGCGCCCCATCGGGCCCATAGAACGCCATCGAGCTGTCCGCTCGGACCGCCGCGCCGGCGCGCCCCATCGGGGCCCATAGAACGCCATCGAGCTGTCCGCTCGGACCGCCACGCCGGCGCGCCCCATATAGCGTAGGGGCCCATACTGGCTGGCTCGGCGCGGTCTACCGCTGGGGTCTTTTCTTTCTTGCTCCAAGGTTTTTAGCAATACAAAGAAAACCAGGCAGTCGAGCGCGCAGAGAGACACCTTGTGACGGTGCCCTGGCAAAATCGTCCCGATTTCGATGCGCGATTTAGCTAAGTCCCAGAGCCGTTTACGCATGAGCGGGCCCCCTCACCAGCCTAGGGCTCGCGCTTCTGGCCCGAGGTGTCGCCGCTGCCTCCCGCGCCCTCCGGCGCCTGCTGCTACTGCCGGTCGGCCGGTCGGGTCCGCGCGACGGCTCCATCCTCGAGACGTAGCGGTCGCTGAGCGCTTTCTCGACCGCTACGTCTTCCAGTGCACCCACCCACCGCGACCCTCGAACCTGCGCTGCGCGGCGCAGTTGCTGCCGAGCGAGAGACGCCCCCGCCCGCGCAGGGGCGGCATCACCAGACGCTACCGCATGGCCGAGCAGCGAGCAGTGTGTGCCGCAGTGCCCGTCCGGGCCCTCTTGCAGCTGCCTCTATTGGGCGTAAACCGCGGATATAAGGGTCTATACGGAGGTGGGTGGCCTCTTAGAGGTATGGGAGCCGCTGGCACCGCGCTGGGCGCCGCGGATGCACGTACGAACGAACATTATGAAATCGGGACGATTTTGACCCAAAAATCACAAGGTGGGCGGCTAAATAAGGCGCCGTGGCGCCCAACACTGCTCGCTCCCTCTCGCTCCACCGCCGCCGGCGAGCACAGACCCGCAGCCCGGGGCCGCGCGGCCGGGCGCCACTGATGGCGGCCTCGCGGCCGTCCATCGATCTCGACGAGGATATCGCGGCCCTCCTGGAGCGGGCGCGCGTTTCTGCGCTCGTCTCCGGTAAGGTGGTGCCGCAGCTGCTGGCCCAGGACGTCGGCAACGTCGCGGCGCTGCTCGAGGCGGTCGCCGAGGACGGCCTCGAGGGGCTCGGCCTCGGCAAGACCGTGCAACGTCAGCTGTGCCGCTGCCTGCCGGCCCTGAACAGCTGCGACGCGGCTGAGGCGGCTTTGTCATCCTTTGCCTCCCTGTCTCTGGTCGAGCCCCCGCTTGGGGCTGCGACTGGCGCGCAGGCGGGCGGCAGCGCGATGGCCGGCGGCGATGGTGCTGCTGGCGAGCGCGCTGGCGGCGGCGGCGGTACGGACGCTGCCGAGGGTGCCGCGCGTGCCGCAGACGGGCATGCGATTGCCGCAAGCGGCCCCCGCGGCGGAGCTGGGAGTGGCTCCGCTGGCGAGGAGCACGGCGGCGGGGCCGCGGCTGGCGGCGAGGGCCGCGGCGGCGCGCGCCCCAAAGAGGCGGACAGCGGCGCCTGCAGTGCGCAGGCCGCGGAAGGCGGAACCGGAGGCGGCGCCCCGGGGGCCTATATGGACCCCGTGGCGCCCGCGCTGCCGGCTTGCGGCGATGGGACGATCGCCGCCGCGGGGGGGGAGGAGGAGGTGGAGGGCGCCGCTGCCGCCGCCGAGGCGGGCCGCCGCGCTCCGAAGACCCTAATTGTTGCCGATCCTTCAGCGACGCGCCATACCGACACCGGGCACAGTTCGCAGCCACTTGCTGCGTCCGCCGGAGCTTCGGATTCTACTTACAGCGGCGCGGACGCGGAGGAGGCGGTGGCAGGAGGGGGCTCTGGGGCGGCGGAGGCGAGCGCGGCGGCCACGGCCGAGGAGGACAAGCGCGTCCGGGCGCTGAGGATTGCCCTGCAGCACAGGACGCAGATGCCCGTGACGGACGAGGAGGCCCGGGCTATCCTCCAGGCGCGAGGGGGTCGCGAGACGCCCGTGACGGAGGAGGAGGCGCGGGTCATCCTTCGGGCGCGGGGGGACGTCGGGCACGGCAGGGCTACCTTTCAGGCGCGGGCGCGCGGGCGCGGTGGGCGCGCCACGGCATCGCCGGCGCTGGCGAGCCAGGGCGGCGAGAAGCTATCGCGGCGTGGGAAGAAGGCGGTGGCGAAGGAGGCGGGCGAGGTGGTATCACGCGAGGAAGGCGAGGCGATTTATCGCGCGACGCTCGAGTCGCTGTTGGCGTCCACCGGGTGGACGCCGCGCGCCGCGGAGGAGAGGGCGCGCGAGGAGCAGCGTGCGCATGTTCGGCAGATGCGCTGGGCAAGGGAGCACGGCCGGGGGGAGCCGGTCCGGTGCTTTGACGCGGAGGAGTACGACGAAGGCGACGACGCTTTCGACGCGCTCTTCGACGGGGGCTCGGTACGGGTGGGATTCCCCCTCGGGGGGCGGCGCTTTCTTCTAGGCGCCCGCCTTGACCCAACATAGAGGGCGTTGTGTAGCCTAGCTTTTGGGTAATATAAAAGAGGCGGCTCGTTGACGTTGTGCGAGTTATATGGGACACTGATGAATCGATGATAGAGGGAGCGGACCGTGAGTTGAGGAAATCGAGGGACGCGACCCACTTCGCCACAGACGGTCCCGCGCCTCGCCCCTAAGACGGGTACACGACCGCGGCTCGTGTGCGTGTACCCGTCTTTGTCCGGAGTGAAAAGTCCAACGCGCTCGTCGGTGGCGGCTTCCCTCAACCTGCGCCGCGCTCGGCGAACCTCGACAGCGCTTTCGGTGGCATGCAGCTCTTTGCGACAGAAGCCTGGAGAGCAGCTCCTCTGCTGCTCACACACTCTGCACAGTTGACACAGCCTATTGTGCGGCTGCCACAGCTGTGACAGCGATGGGCTCGCCCTCACTGGCCCTCAGTCACTTGTGCTGCGGCTTGTGTGAGCGACACTGCTCGGCGACTGCCGGCACACTGTGAGACCATGGGTTTGAGGTTAAGCCACGCTACCAGCGCTTGGTCACATCGGCCCCGAGGTCAGATCCATCTACTCTGTTGATGACAAGACTTGTCTACTGGCTGGAGCCGAGCAGGAGGGCCCAGCGCACAACCCCTGGTCAACTCAGGGTCCACACCCCGTATGATGTCTGTGTCTCAAAAAATCCTATGAGGGGTTTTGACTCCTACCGGCTCCTACCGGCTCCTGACGCTATCCCTGGCAGCTCTAATGACCAGGATCAAAAGGAATTGCTTTAGAAGAAAAACGGGCACGCATAATTCTCCATCCTCCATTCTCTCCCCCTTGGCGCGGGTCCCCCCAGCCCGTAACCTGCGCCATAAAGCCGTATGTGGGAAGCTGGCCGCCGATCCTAAGACCCATCGACCAGGGCTTGCTAGATCGCGCGGGGCGAATGAGTGATGAAGTTAGTGCCTTGGTGCCTGTCCCCCATGGTGCATGGATGCTTGGTGGCTTCCCCTGGTCTCGCGACCATGAATGAGAGCTCTCACTCCCAGGGTACTCCCGCGTATCTGGGTTTCTCGGCTCCCTTATCCCCCCCCCCCCCCATCCCTCCCCTTTCTCTCTCCGAGATGACCCGTGCGCTACGTGCCAAGGTTCGGTCCTCGGGGAGGGGGGATTGGCGGCGTGTCATCATTGGGTATCCTTGTCGATGGACGCCCAACAGTTTCGATTTCCCTCCTTAGCGCCCCGGGTAGAGCGTGGCCTCCCCTGGAGCCTGCCACGCCCGTTCTGTCTAAGCCCAGGGTTCAGCTTTCCAGTTGATCCTTATCGGACTGGTGAGTTCCGTCTCACTGTCAGTGTGGCGTCGCAGGCAGTCATTGGCGGCGGTGTTACACACACTATGCCAGTTTTCGTTTCCCAGGGGGAGGTTGGCGGAACGTCGCTACTGGTTGAGTGCTGGGTTGATCCTTATCGGAGTGGTGAGTTCCACTCACTGTCAGTGTGGCGTCGCCGGCAGTGCGGCAGTCATTGGCAGCGGTGCTACACACACTACGTCTTCATTCGTTTTAACGACTAGGAAAGAAACGAGCTCTTCTAGGAAAGAAACGAGCTCTTCATGCACTATAAACCGCTCATTTTCGTATGTATGTACTACATCCACTTGTCTTCGAATTTCAGTGCAGACCGGGGAGGACGCACAAAATAATGGCCAGGGTGAGGGTGTGAACACACGTGAAGAGTGGGGGAGGGTGTCTGTGGTGGGCTGTAGTCATACTACGTGGTTACAACCACGCGCCCCTCAGGAGCTTAAGGTAGAGTAGTTGGGTGTCAAGACACCGGGTCGGCGCCAGGCTTAGACGGCCTGTCGCACGACGGGTTGACTGCGAGGCAGTCCGAGCACGAACTAGTCGTCGATCCGCTGACGATCCCCGCCGCTTCACCGTCGGAGCGGCGGCGGGTGAGAGTTAGTCAAAGGTCCACCAGCACAGCCTCCAGCCACCTCTCTCTCTCTCTCTCTCTCTCTCACATACTTGACCCCCCCCCTTGGCGCCTTGTGTTTTTCGGGGAGGGTACCCATTCGTTGCTGGTAGCGAGTCGACGCTGCTTGACCTGCCAGCGTCGACTCGCCCTGTTCGCAGATCTCCTCTGCTGGCGCCATGTGCCTGTCGCCGGCGCTGCAGAGCGGCGAGGACATCGTCAGCCACCAGCTCGAGCTGCAGTCGATCTTGCACGGTGTGCACCAGCGCTACGCCGGCCGCCAAGGGCGGTACAACAAGCACGACACGGCGCGGCTCCGCTACATCAAAAACACCGCCTTCCCGGGCCTGCGCTTCGGCAAGATGGTGCCGGAGCGAGACATGGCGATGCTCAGCCCTCTCCCACCGTCGCGGATCGCCCGTCACCTCGCCTCTCCGCAGGGTCATCTCTCGCGCCGTCTGCATCTCTCTGCCGGTCGCCAGCACCCGCCACCGACTGGCTGCACCGCCACTCGCGACGCGCCACCCTCGCTCACCAGCCTGCATACGCGCTACTCCCGCCGTGCCTTTGCTGCCACATGGATCGCATGTCACTGCAAACGCGCCCGCAGCCGCGCCGTAAAGGTCTGCCTTGCTGGCTGACGATCTCACTCTCCCGCTCCTATTGCATCTGCCTCCCGCCTCCCAGCTCACATTTGACACTGCAGTAGGTGCTCCTGTCGACGCTGCCGCCGCTGCCACCGCTACTGTCACCGCTCGTTTGATAATCGACGCCACGCTTAGCGGCAGCGAGATCCGAGGTTGAGTCAACTTGCCTGGTGCGCTCTTGCGCGTGCCTTCAAGATCCACAAGTCAATTTGTACCAGAAATCCAAAGGTGGTGCAAAATGGATATCTCAAGATTGGCCTTTATTTCGCGCACCTGCTCTCCGCCGCCGCCGCTTACCTGCTGGCACGCCACCGCCCCGCGTCGCTAACTCAAGCCTCCCTGCTGCATCTTGCCACCCCTGCCACATGACTCGACCGCCGTCGCTGCTACCGCCCTCCCCGCCGCCCTCGAAGGCGCCACCAGCATTACGGCCGCCTTCATATCTCATTGATGCTGCCACCAACGCCACTTCCTCGATTCTGTGCCGCTGCAGCGGCGAGGCGCCGTCGCCACGATCGCCGCCAGCGCTGCTGATAGCCTCGGAGCGTCGCCGTGGCCGCGTTCTGGTCTGCCCACGCTTCCCTAAAACGTCTAGGACGAGCTCAGAGGCTAAGGGCGCATCATGTGGGACCATCTAGCTCTACTGGGTCCGCGACGGTGGTCGGCGCACCCCCGTCTCGAACGTGTGTGCTCTCTGTCTGTCTGTCTGTTGTTTCGGCTAAGTCGTTTTGTACCGGATTTCAATGTTAGTGGCAAAACCGCGGAGCCGAAAATGGCGTTTAATTTCGCGCACCTGCTGTCCGCCGCCTGCGGCGGCGCTCCGCGCCGCTTGGGGCGCCTGCGGCGCCCCTGGGCGCGCTGCGCGCGCCTGTTTTGGGGGGGCTACCAGCACCGAAAAAGTGCCTGTTTTTAGTGTTATACCAAAAGGAGGGCTACACGACGCCCTCTACGCTGGGGTGCCGGCGCCCTACTGGGCGCCCCCCGCTCCCTTCCCCTCAGAGCCCCCCATCCCACTAGCATTCCCCCGCGGTCCCTCGCGGTCGCGCGACGCCGCACCAATGGCGCGCTGTGCCTCGTCCGCGAGCGCCACCCAGAGCTGCACCGACAGTCGCTGCAGCGCAAACGGCATCCATTCGCGCGCCGACCACGACGTCTGGTCGTACTGCCACCACGTGAGCTTCCGGCCCGCCACCTCAGCCACCCGCATCAGCAGCTCCTCCACCCCCGCGCTCATTGCGCCGAACTCCTCGAAGAGCAACGCCTCCACATGGCACTTCCCCTCTGCGTCCGTGTACTGGCCCTTGACATGGCGAAGTCTGTGCCGTGAAGCCGGAAGTCGCTGCGCACGATGCCAGTGGTGCGCACGCGCGCTCGGAGCACATCGTGCTCCGTCGGCAGGTACCTTTGTACAAGGTGGGGGCGTGGCTAGAGGAGAGAAGGTCTCAGAGTGGTCCCAGTGCTGGGCTGTGGGTTGGCATAGCCGGCCGCGCGCCCGTCGGCTGCCATCCGGTCCGCGTTGTCGAAATAGTACTCGGCAGAGTCGGTCAGTTGGAACTCGGCTCTTCGTTTCCAGAGCTAAGAATCAGAGCGACGGAATTTGAGCTATGGGCTAGGGACGAGTCTGCGAGCCGGCTGGGGGACGCGCCTTTTTGGTCGCTGGGTGCGCCCAGACCCTTGAAATGATGGCTGCCAACTGCGGCGTCAGCTCCTCGCTCCGAACCGCCTCGTTTTCGTCAAAGTTCCTTTGCAACGTGGCTAGCTCGTCCGGCATTGAGCACCCGATCCGATCCCAGCCCTCGAGCAGCGTCTTTGCCTGCAGCAACACAAGGGGCATCTCATCATCATGCGCCCGCCACCGAGCTCCACGGAGGGCGGCGCTTGCCGAGAGGATGGCGTTCGAGTGGACAACCGCAACGAAGTCTCTCTTCTCCTCCTCCGAGTAGCCCCCCTTGTGAAGCACCTGTTGTTTAAAATCGCTCGCGTGTCGGCTGGTGCGCCATGCCCGAGACGGGGGTCGGTGCAAGCTGGGCGCCTTCATCTGCTTCATCAGCGTCGACTTCCCACTCTCTCCCGCGCCGAGAACCAGTAGCTTAACGACGTTCTCTTGCTTTGTGGAGCGCTTGGCGGAAGAGCGAGTAGTGTCTGCGGTGCACGTGCGGTCGCGTAGGCTAAGGGTGACGCACGGCACCATGGTGGGCACTCGGGCAAGCCACCTCCAGGTGTCGGTGTCGCCACTGTCCTCCAGCCGGCCGCATTCTCCCCCTTTTTCCCAAACAGCTTCTTCAGCACTCCGCGGTACACCTGTGATTTGGGCTGAGACTGTGAGCAGCGATACAGCGCAACTAACCCAACACAGCGCTAGGCTGGCAAGGAGTTGGGAGGGCAACTCGTCACGGGCTAATGCACGCGTCACACACCGGCCCCGCCGGTGACTCGGCGTCGTCGTGTGCCGAGAGCCGCTCCAGCTCGGCTACCACGCTGTCGAATTGCTCCCGGCACTCCCCCATCGCGAGAGGGAACTACGTCCGAAGCCAACGCGTCGATGGACGGCCGAGCGCGCCAGGGTTTGGTCGTGAGGGCGGCGGGAGGACGGAGGTCGGGCGGTGGGGGCGAGGGGCGGCGAAGGAGAGGGTGGCGGCAAAGGGGTTGGCGAGGTGGAGGGCTGGGGCGGCATGGTATCCTGAAGAGTGAAGTCGGGCCCGGGGTTGTGCGTTTATGTGAAGTCCACACAATGCCCAACCACCTACCTCTGTGTGGACAACAACATACCTTAAACCTACCTCTGTGTTGTGTGTGTGGGGGGGGTACAGCCGGGGAACGATCCTTGGCAGCCGCTCGCCCCCGACTCCATGTGTGCCATTTGCCAAGTAATTTCAGCCCAGCATCCTCTTCACAGCTACCTGGCTACGAAGCATCCACCACACAGGGTTCCGGCTCCTACCTACCCGGATAGGGGGTCTGTCGGCACTGGCTGGCCCCTCCGTGTGTGTGTGTGTGTGCGCGGTCTTCCGCGGGGGGAGCTGCGTCGACGGGTGCGGGACCGCGGCGCAGCCAGTGCCGTGGCGATGCCTCCGGCTGTTTGCGGCGGGCGGCTTGCTGCTCGCGGCGATGGCGAAAAACTCGTCTCGCCACACGCCAAGCTAGGGCTTATGCTCTGGTGAGACGTGAGGCGCATGCGCCCAGGAGGGGAGGGGGCATGTGTAACGACACTGCTAGAGATGCCTTTCGGGGCCCAGAGACAAAACTTCTGATGCCATGCGTGACCTAGTAGTGTCCCCAGCTATGGGCGTGTCCACGTTGGAGCCAGGTGTGGTGTGGGCGCGAGAATAGCTCCGCCGTTCATGGAGGCAACCGATGCGAGTCGACTGGTGTGTGTCGTCGTGGTTTCGTATCAAGAATACTCACTCACACACTCACTGGCCCCTCCCAGATAGGTAGGTAGGTTGGTCTTGTTTGGCCCAAAAGGGCCCTGCAATAGGTAGGTACCCCCTATTTTCATCTTTTTTCGCTTCGCTGCGCGGCCTGGGGATAGGTAGGTAGGTAGGGCGTTTTGGCGCGAGTCAGATCATGACCCCCTATCCGGGTAGGTGCCGGAACCCAGATGGAGTCCAAAATCGCGTTCGTGCCCAGTCAGCACAGCTTCGCGAGCGTGCCGCGTCGTCTGCTCGGCCAGCTTCCGCGGATCGGCGCGGGCGAGCCCGTGGCCCTACGCCTTTGCTGGACGAGCGGCGGCGAGCGACGTGAGGCAGTCGTGGGCTGGGGCGGTGGCGTGGCGGCTGGCGACGCCCTGGAGCTGCCGTCCGCCCTTGCTGAAGCGCTGGGTTTGAGCTCGGCGCGCGCGGTGCACGTCTCTCACGCGAGCAGCCTGCCTCTGGCCGTCCGCGCAACGCTCGCGCCCGAGTCGCCAGAGGACTGGGCGCTTGTGAGCGGCGGCGCGGCGCGGCTCGAGGAGACGGCGCTCACGCAGCTGAACGTGCTGACGGCGGGCACGCGCGTGCCCCTCTGGCTCGATGGCGCGGCTTGCGCCTGGCTCCGCGTCTCCGAGCTCCACGCCGCCGACGGGCCGGTGGCGGCCGCGAGGCTGGCGAGCGGCTCCGAACTGCACATCGCTCCTCCGGTTGCTGCTGCTGCTACGGGCGGCGGCGGCGGCGGCGGCGGCGACGGCGGCGACAGCGGCGGCGGTTCTTTCGTCGCGCGTCTGGAGCAGGCGCCGCGCGGGTGGCCGCCCCTCGCACTGGGCCTCTCCGCCGCTGCGATGGTCGCGCGACGCATCTCGCCAGGCGACTTAATCCTTCTCTACTCCAGGGGCGCGGCTGCGGCGGGTATCTCG